TGTACTATATGAAGTACTAAAATTTAATTGAAATACACCTCTATGCTTGTGAAAGACAATGTTCCTTGTTGCACAGAAACGAAAGTGCCAAATAGTAATTAGTTTCTAATATTTAATATTACTAATTTCAATCAAATATCGAAATAATCGATCTGTTATCAAATATCGAAATAAATAAATACACAATTTTATAATAATTTATTATTCAACATTGTAAAAATTCGGTCTAATGTTGCACATTGTGGTAGTTCAATAGAGCTTTAGGAAGAAACATGCTAATGTTTAGCGTTAGCTCCTTGGTAAGGCTGCACGTTCTCCACTGAATCTGATGGCTGTAGGTGGCTGATTGATGCTGCAACAGCATTGTGGAAACGCCTGCGACTAATCCGTAAAACTCTGCTCCACGCAAGCCTTCACTCGCTTCTCGTACTCACGTCGATTCTCTTTGTACAGTTGTGCTGCCATTGAGTTGGCAGGTGAATTCGGGTTCGGGTCACTTAACAGCGACTGCAACCACATAAGTCATACTCATTACACAATATTTTTAATACTTTTGCTTAATGATGCATGGCCATAATTATAAGTAGATGATACTCTTACTTGACATTGGTGATTAGAAGTACACTTGTGGTCAGTTATACAAATTACAAGCACAATTTTACACTAACATTATATGCAAATAATTTTTGAATTTAATGAACCAGACCTTTCTGAATTGCAACCGCTGTTAAGACAAAAACTTACAAATTTTTCAAGTTTTTCTTTCTTTTTCAAAGAAAATTGACAGAAAAAAGAAGTAGATATGAGTGTGTGAAACTTTAACAATTGTATCATTAATATATTTTCTATAGAAACAAAAATCAAGCATGTTCTATTTTAATAGCACATACAATAACATAAGCAGTTGACTTTTAAACTACATTTAGTAACTGCCATACAAAACATATTTGCAGTTATTGTAAAAAACTTAATTCCACATTACAGAACTCAAAATAAAATAATGTATAGAAAAAAGAAATAAAGTTTAATTGTTGATCATATGAAATTAATATTTCTCAATTAATTTTCAAAACAGATACCTATTTCTTTCTGCCTTATACTTACTGTTATTGAATTGGATGAATTATCATTGGTTTGTATGAAATTTAACATGCAAGATGCATTTGTTATGACAACACATGAATTAATGGAAACATAAAAACAGTGTTTAGGATATAGTTATTGTTATTAGATCTTTTGGATATGTTAAAGTACAAAACCACAGAAAGTATTAAATGTTTTCAATACCTGTATAGATGTTAGAATAGCAGACACATCATAAGTAGGGCTCCAGCGGTTCTGTAATATGTCCAGACAGATGCCTCCATCAGCATATACATTAGGGTGGAACATCTTACTAATAAATCTCACTGTAGGTGGTTTATTTGGATATTCTTCTGTAAATTCTATTGTAAGTTTAAAGGTACCATCTTCAAATGGAGTGTCATGTGGTCTATAAAAACAATAACATAAAAAATAAATGTATAATAATTCAATAATGTTTCTTATATAATTTTTCAATTAGAAGTTATTGTAACTTTAATTCATTATAAAAAACTCATTATAAATCATTATAAAAACTATTTATATATATTCTTACCCAAATATAACTGCATTCCATATCATAATATTATTGTCTGTGGGTGCTCCTGATACTCCAGTAGGTGGGTCTTCTTGTAATCTATTCATATAAACATTAAGTTATAAAAAACAGGTCAAAATAGATGAATGAATAGAAGTATTTATTTTATTCAATAAGTTATTTTACACAAATTGAACATAGTATACTGGTTTAGATTTCTCATATGTCTCAATGTCATTTCAATGCCTTTTTATATAAAACATTTTTTAACAACACACTATATGTACACAAACATAAATGATGAATATTCGTATATATACTTTCTGTTTTTCTTGCATAAATTAAAAGACGAACTACTAGCAACGAAAAAATAAATAAATAAACAAAAAATAAGAATTGCGTAAACATAATCGGTATGTAATTTTTAGAAAATATTTATTTTTTGTAATGATTTTTATTTACATAAACAGTGATCCATAAAGAATTAACATTTATAAAAGAAGTTACCAGGAGTCAGTCGAATATTTATGAGAATCAATAGGGAATGTCACAATATAAACAAAACCATAGCCGTTCATGAGTCGTGTGCGATTTCCTAGACATTCCTTCCGCAGTGATAAACACAGCTCACTAATTCATCGATTGATCTTCGAAAATCTTAATTTGGAATGCAAATGAAACGCAATAAATGATCATAAGCTCCTAATAATAACTTCGTAAGACAAGCTACAATGACGTTCGAACGTCGTGTAACCTGAGGAGTCTCAAGTGAAATTTTCGATGACTCTTATCGTACGCAAAGGTTACAAAGAGCAAAATACAAATACAAATTTCATTTATAATGGCGGTAGATGACACACGAAACGATGACATAGGAATCTTGATATTCACGGTACCTCTTAAAATCTCTCATTAGTCTCCTTCTTGCGGGGGTAGACATCCCTCACGAATGGGCTCGTCGCTCCCAAATCGTTGATATGGGTAAATTCTAGAACGTTTCGATACCGTCCACACCTCGCGTTAATGCTGTTCCCCAATAAAAGAAATCACAGCTCCGCACGACGGTTACTTCGACAACCTCGTCACATATACGAGAACGCCCGTTGTTTCTGCTGCGTACGTCTTTGCCTTTTGTCAGTCCGAAGGCCACCCTATCGTACAATACCGTTATAGGTTGTTCAAAATTAGTTCTACCTAACAAGTTTTCGATTGGCACTCGATTGTGTATCGATATTTTAACACCTTGAATTTCCACTGTCGTTCGTGGAAAAGGCCACCAGCATAAAACCTACGTAATAATCACCCTGAGAAATTCGTTCACCGGACTGCCAAACCACGGACAGCTGGATAGATATACGGAGGGGATAAGGAATGAACTGTTTTGCGCATGACGTCACAAACTAAAATCGGACATCCCAGCCAATAGTCCTTATTGTTACGTTCGTTGTTCGATTTAAATTTATTGCTTTAATTTAATAAAGAGTGCGTTTTGTAAAAAAAAAAACGATTGACTCCAAGAAGTAAGATGCAGTGCGTATGTTAGCAGTTTTTACAAGTTTAGTTGTACTATATCTAAAAACGTCACACAACACGGATTGCAACCAATCCCGAAATGTCGATAGTCTAAGCGTGGTTTACAATGCAACTTTTTACACTAAAATATTAAACCGAATTTTCATAAGTAATATGTGAAATGTGATGTCACGCTCCACGACTTTCGTGCGAACCAGACGTGAGAGCCATGCTTTGTAATTCTCATGCGAATCACCCTTTTCAACCTTGGCGCACTGAACATTTTTATAACAAATCAAGCGTTATCTATCTCGCCTAGTTATTTTATTTTTTACGCGGGAAGAGTATGAAACATAACAAATATTTTCGTTATATCTAAATACAATTTCAAACAATGACATGGCCGTACTTTTTATGCGTGTAATTTACATATTAAATTATTAGAAGTATAATATGACGTTCCTCTAATTTTGTTTTTAATATGCAATTACTTCATATATTTCAATACAGTATAAATTTTAATGTATATTCGCCTTGGTGTTAAAGTTATATTTCTAGGGATTTTACTGGATTTTGTACAAAAGAATTGTTATTGGTTACAATGGTATCGAATGCAAACTGCAATCTACAAATTACGAATTAGAAATACTCATATGATGCGTGTATTTTGTTGTATTTCAAAAAAGAGATGGTTAAATTTTGTTTCCTTTCATGACAGCAGCTTCTAATGCCGCCATCATTATATGTTATAATGTAGATTATATAAATAAAATCTGCCTTTTTTACGTAATATTTACTTGTACATAAAGTATTCAAAAATCGATAAGAGCATAGGATACTGTTAAAGGCGCACGCGTGAGCAGATACTGATACATGTCAGCTGTCTACCGCTGAATACAACCGTAAATTGAGAATTAAAATATTCTCTATCCTATTACGAAGTCTTCCAATGCAGAAATATAGTTTTAATCAAACTTAATGGCTTGTGATAATCGTACGAGAGTGTACCTGGGATATGAAGATGAATATGTCACTGATAAACATCGTCCGAATATTAACTTTATGACAAATAAGATCGGTGGATTTCCAGTAAGTTGTTTCTTATATTAAATCATGTTATGTATATTTAAACAAGGTACAAATACATAGTATAAATTTAATTAAATGTATTATTATTATTTATAGAACTGTTATGAAAAAAATATACTATCATTACCACAGTGTAAGTTGTGCAGATTATATCAACTCTTGGCTCTTCAGCTATATGTTCCATTAGATAATTCCAAGTACCATCGAACACTTTATATTTTCGCATGTATAAATCCAAATTGTTGGAATCAAAATGAAAGTTGGACTTGTTTAAGAGTTCAAATACCAGAAGATGTATGCAAACCAAATGCTTTAGATAGTAGTACAGTAAATGTACCATCTACAACATCATGGTTATCAGATGCAGATGATTGGGGTGATAATTTGAATGACAATTCCTCTGAACAAAATGGAAATAATTTATTGCCAAACAATGTAACAGATTTCCACTTTTCTTTGCAAAAAGATACAGATGAAAATATAAGAGAAGAATTTTCTGCATTACATGTTGATGACCCTAATGCAAACAGGTATGTATGAAATAAATGAAGATTGCAAAAAATTCAAGTTTCTAAGAATGTACTTGTTCATTGCTCAAATGTAATTTATTTTAGTCCAACAAGTATAGAGTCTCCAGTTGGAATAGGTGCTGTAGGTAAATTAGATTCTCCTCAAGCATCTGCTGAAATTGATGGAGAAGAAAGTGAAGTTGTTTGTATTGATACTCCAATCCAGCCTCAATGTGATTTAATAGATTTATTGAGAGAAGTTACTCCATTTCCTATTCAAGTAGAATCAAACATTGATACAAAATTATCATTTGTTGAAATATTTATTTCCGTCGAAGAAGAAGTCTACAGTGCAGATGTGCCACAACATGTTCGTGATTTACTCCTTGAATACCAATACAAAAATCCGGATTTATCAACAAAGTCTGCAGCAGATATAGATGAAGGCAAGACCATAGAAACAGATTCAGAAAAATATGAAAAAGGCATTCCAATGCATGGAGATGAAATGTTTCATAATTTTGTCTCTCAGATACAGAAAAATCCTGGTCAACTTTTACGGTACAAATATAAATAGTGCTAAATAATTTTAATTACATTTCATATTGCTACAAAATTTCTTGTCCTGTTTAATGTTCCAGATATTCCCGAGATAATTCTGCACCATTATTATTATATCCTATCAGTGGATGCGTTGGGAAATGTCGACATTGCGGTGGTGAAATGACATTTGAAGTCCAAATTTTACCTACATTGATTTCTAAGTTAATACTTCAACCGCGAGTTGAAAAAAATTTCCAAATTGAATTTGGAACTGTTTTAATATACACCTGCGTAAGAAGTTGTTGGTCTCCATTGGATTTATACAGGGAAGAACATGTTATTGTTCAAGCAGAGAAATTATAGTGATACTACAATTAAAATAAATTTAATAGAATTTCGAACTTCCAATTTTAGATGAATTATGGTTGCATTTTTTTGTAGCAAAATACCGTCCACCTTTTTGCATATACATTAGAATTCATAGTAATGGTGTATACAAATAAAATTCTAATTTCTGATATAAGATTCATTGAAAATACCTCTCTAAACAGTTGTGTTAGGATAGTTATGAAAAGGACTTGTAATTTTACTTTTAAATTTAGTGTAGTGTAAGAAAAAATATTATACACTGCTATTCATACATAAATACAGAATCGTTAATGGAAATATGCTTACTTATTCCACTATTCATAATATTTAGTCATATTGCTATGTCCAAAAATGAATGTAGTATAAATATAGGTACAGAACCATATATGCTTAATCAATCATTTATAAGATTATTTTTAACAATGTACATTTTAAGATTAAAGCATTATGGAACTTTGAAACTATATTAGTTAAATATTTAGTATGTCCTGGTCATAGGGTGTTCTATAGGATATTTACGCTTTCCATACAAAAACTCCATTGTGTTTATATAACCATAGTCACCATTATGAACTGGTCCACGTTCTATATCTGATACAATTGAATGTATTTTATTGTGTGTTATATATGCAGCATTAACTCCTATATTTTTTTCAATATCTGCATTTCGAACACCAATACTGTATGATCTTGATGAACGTGTCAAATTAGCATATACTACATATATTTCTGTTAGCATTTCAGTTATTTTCTGCAGCTCTGTAAATTTATCTACAATTTCTGATCCATTGCGTATTAATATCCTTGCAACACCATCACTTAAGAGATTTATAGTATCTTCTAAATGCTGTGCACCATATTCCAATGATGGATGAAGATACTTTGAAATAGATGTAACTGAGTTTTGCTTTTTAAATATTGAATCTATTATATTATATATAGGATATTTCTGCATGTTTCTTTTCTTGTGCACATGGGTATGTGATTCTTTTCCAATATCTTTTAAAATATTCACTGCTACATATGTAAGTGCATCTAGATTATTTGCATCCATTGTTGTTAAAGCTAAAGCATCATGAAATGCTTGTGTATATAGTTTATTATGCAAACAACTTCTTGCACCAATTAACTGTAATCCTGCTTGAATACAGCTCAAACATTTATTTGCACAATATGTTTCAGTAATAATTTGCTCTATTTCAGCATTTTGATTCTCATATTTATCAATTATTCCACTTGTCAGATATGCCACACTTTCCATAGAATATAGAGAAAATGTTATTTCTCCTAAAATCTTTTTTGCAATATCAAATTCATATAAATTTTTATCAAAATGTTTTATGTTAAAGATATCTACTATTAATTGGTTTGTAAAATTTCGTAAAATACTGATAGCCTGTGCTGTTACATTTTGATTTCCAGGTTTTAAATATTCTAATAATATAGGAAATGCACTTCCTGGCTTGCCAATAATGTTTTCAGTAGGTATTACTGTATCTTTAAAACAAATTGTACAGGTAGATGTGTCATGTCTGCCAATTGCCTCACAGACATTATTACAAGTCACACCTTCAAAATCACGTTCAACTAAGAGTAAGGAGAATGAATCAGGTGAATCTAACCACCTACTACCTGTATCCCTTGCTATAACTAAGAAAAGATTAGAATTTATTCCATTAACAACAAATGTTTTTTCACCATTTAGTAACCACGTATCTTCTGTTTCTGTTACAATGTAGCTTTTAATATTGTTAATATTTGTCCCATAGTCTCCTTCATTTATGCATATTGTAGGAGTTATTTCACCACTCATAATTTTTGGATAATATTTAAACATTTGTTCCTTTGCTCCATATTTGAAAATTATTTCAATGGGTAAGATATGATTTTTTACTATATAGGTGCCTAACCAAGGCAATATACTAAGTGTTTCTATTAATTTCAATGATTCTGTCTTTGAGAAGTTTAAACCACGATTACCTTCATCAATATGGGCTCGAAATACTTCAAGTTCTCTAAGTTGATCTAATATCTCCTTCTTATCCAATATATCATTATTAACACAACTTAATATATAACTTTCTATTGGTTTTAACCAATCAACAAAATTCTGATACCTATAAGGATGTGTCTCAGGATAAGCAAACAATTCTTCACTAAATGTTTTTGCAATCAAACATTTTATAAAAGGTTCTCTTTGTGGTTTCTTCTTAGCATGAGGTTCAAACAGAATGTTCTCATGTGTTAATCCAGTAGCTGTTGCTTCTTTCAGATATCTTTTTAACATATAATTTGACTTTAAATGAAAGATTTTGTTCTTTTGTAATAATTTTTGTGTGAACATTATTAAATATTATTAAATATTATTTTTGATGCACATTAATCATTCCTTTCAAAGGTAATCTTATTTTTTCTTTCGTATAGAATAAGCACAAGTATTTTCAACAGAATTTCATACCATTAATAAAGTACTACAAACAACATGAACTGAATATCAATTGTAGAACTTTACTACACACATTAATTGTGGAATTAATTTCTTTTACACAAGAAAATTTTTACATTTGATTTACAAGTATTAATTATTAAGAAAAACAAAATAATTATATTAAAAATGAAATTATTTAAAATTTCACTCAATATGGGGACTTTTTATTTTAACTTAACAGTTTGTCACACTTTCTATGCTATGCATACGATTAAAGATGGCTTGAAGGAAAGCTGGAGTAAAGGTTGAGGGAAGTGTCATTTTATGACAAGTAGTACTGTAATTTTCTTTTTTTAAATAAGATCAAATTTACATTTGATCATGTCATATTTAAATCAACCTGATTACGTACGTTATGTATGTAATTGTGGATCTTTAAAACCAATTTCGAAGATTTATTTTTGCAGGTATTGTTGGAAAATTCGTTGCGGGTACTGTGTTTGTCATGAGGTAAAATAAAATAATAATATTATTTAAATATTATTTGACTGTATCCTATGAACTTGTACATTATTAATATTAGGTTTTATAAAATGAAATTATAAAAATTTTGAATACAAATGTTTAATGTATGAGCACAGAGGAATTTAATTTTTGTTAACAGGTTGATTCCCATTATTGTCCTAATTGTATGGAAAATTTGCCAACATCAGAAGTTCGTTTGCAAAAGAACAAGTAAGATTTAAATACAAACAAATTTTTAAATGTACATTTGATTGAATTTTATAATACATTTATAATGTGTTAACAGATGTTCTAATTGTTTTGAATGTCCCTGTTGTTTTCAAACATTATCCACAAGAGCTGGACATGTACCTTTAAGGGTAGCACCTCCTGAAGGAGAAGATGCTAAAGATGGTAAAACAACACCAAAGAAAGTATATTATTTGTCTTGTTCATTATGTCGATGGACTTCTAGAGATGCTGGTATACCAGATCAATCTGTGGGTATGTTTAACTAAAACTTAGATATTACATTTATAATAGTATTGAAATTTCTTAATGATAATTTTTAATTTTGTTTAGCTACTGGAGGTTGGCCTGAACAAGAAAATCCTCATATAAGTCGCATTAATGCTTTAATTGATTATCATAAAATACTAGCTTCTATAGAAAAACAAAAATGTGAAAAAAAGAAGTATTCTTTACCAAAGTATCATTATACACCAATTGTAAGGCATTAAGAAATCATTGTCTTCATTTTTTAAATGATAATCTCTATTTATTTATAATTTTTTTATATTTTAGACTCTATTTGAAAGAACATCCTTTACATCTTCTCGTTTTGGTCGTTCTGGTCTTGTACGGTCGTATTGGTCTCGTCAGTCTGAAAAACCTGTTCGTCCACTGGTTGTTCAACCATCTCCAGCTATCGCTAGTACAGAGGTAGAGGAGTTGCGAGCAGAAATTTTCACAGAACAAGTGGACATAACTAAGAGTAAGCAGTTGTTTATACTAAAACAAAATTTTTCATTATGTTGTAAATTTTCATACAAACAATATTTAAATACAGTTACTACATTGGAACAACGATTACGGCACCCAGATGTACAAGCAGAAAATGTAAACGAATTACGTCCACAACATAGGCAATTTTTTGTTAAGAAATCGTTGCGGTGTCGAGTTTGCGAACATAATCTTATTAAACCAGATCTCTGTCCACATTCTATAAAGTTTAAAGTTCAACTTGCGGCATTGTAAGTTTATAATATTTCAACATCTTTTGTATTTTTATATAAACATCATAGTATTACGATGTATCTATGTATAGTTATCATGTACCAGAAATAAGGATTATTACTTGTGAACCACTTCGACCTGGCAGGTCAAGTGAGTTGCTTTTAAAGTTTTACAATCCAACTCCACATCAAACACAAATAACACTGTTACCATTGGACACACCAATGACTTCTGTTGTAACAGTTGTAGATGAAAAAGAAGAGGTTAAACAAGGAGATGGACAACAAGTAAATATATATTATTTTTTAACCTATGTTACTTTATTAAAGGAAAAATTTTTCTGACACTAATTTTAGGGATCCGAATCACCAAATTTGTTACCTTCTATCGTTCGACAAGTGCCTGTAACAGTAGAAACAAGACCCGTAAAAATTACTGCAAATGCAGATTTAGTTTTGCCTCATAGTCCTCTTATTCTGTCACGTAAAGATGATGCTGCTGAATATGATTATTCCGCCGATACGCATAATTTTCAAGATGATCCTAAGTATATATCTTTTAAGTTTTAGTTATGCGTGTTATTTACGGCTATCATATGTTAAAAATTTGATACTTTTTTTAAAGGCTCGTAATCTGGCGGAAAGGTAATAAAGCAGCAATAAAACTGCATTTAACTCCGCACGAAAATTTAGAAGAGAGTGAAAATCAATCGGTTATAATTGGATTTGTTATGCAATATGGATATGTGAATACAATCACGACGCTGGAACACAAAGCACCTCAAAAGTTAGATCTCAGAGTTAAAGTATATCTTACTGTGGGAAAGATTATTGGAAGTGCTTAATGCTTACTGCTGTATCACGTGGATATTAATATTTATAAATACTATCCAAATTTAATTACTAATATAAATTCTCATGCTGCACACAGTATATGTACCACTTATTTAAATGAAAATATTTAAATGTTAATTTACATTAATTGTATAACGAATGA